CATTGTTGTTCCAAAAAAGTGTCCCAAAATATTTCTCTGGGGGGAAGCTGTCCTTACAGCAACATACCTTATCAACAAACTACCCTCTAGAGTCTTAGTATCAAAAAGCCCTATGAAAGCTTTGTCATCTTTCTATCCAAACCTATCCACTACAAATAATCTTAAACCAAGAGTTTTTAGGTACATCTCATATGTCCATATTCATAGTACAGACAGGGGAAAACTTGATCCTAGAGCCTTAAAGTGTGTCTTTGTTGGTTACTCACCCACTCAGAAAGGGTATAAATGCTATCACCCCCTATCCAAAAAATTCTGTGTCTAGGGATGTTACCTTCAACGAACAAGGCTATTTCCATCAACCTTATATTCAGGGGGAGAGTTTCAGGGAAGATAAGGAAAGTAGTAATTCTAGTTTTCCCATTCTTCCAGACTTGATATTTGAACCTAAACGAGATCAAATTGAAGCTGTAACAAGTGAAACAAGTTAAGGAATTGGTCAAGAAAAGGAAGTTGGTCAAGAAAGTAAAATTAATTGTGAAGCTGATCAAGGAGATGTTGAAGCTGGAAAATTTGGTAAGAAGCTGGTGTACTCAAGGAAGACTAAGGTCATTCCAAGATCAAGCAGGTTGAAATTGAAACCCAAAATGATCCTGACCTCCCAATTGCCATTAGAAAAGGGACAAGAAAATACACCAAACAGCCACTCTACCCTCTCTCAAATTACCTGTCCTTTAAAAATTTCTCTCCTGCCCATAAAACCTTCCTAGTAAACCTAAACACTACACTTCTATCTAATACCCTATCTGAGGCATTGTCTGACAGAAAATGGAGGCAAGCCATGGATGTAAAGATGGTGGCAATGGAGAACAACACTTGGGAGTTAGTCACCTTACCAATAGGAAAGAGGCCAATTGGATGTAATTGGGTCTATACAGTGAAATACAAGACTGATGGATCAATTGAGAGATATAAGGCAAGACTAGTTGCCAAAGGGTTCACCCAAACCTATGGAGTTGACTATTTGGAGATCTTTGCTCCGGTTGCCAAAATGAACACAGTTAAGGTGATATTGTCCCTTGCTGCCAATTATGGTTGAAACTTGGAACAATTTGATGTTAAGAATGTTTTCCTACATGGAGACCTTGAAGAAGAAAGTTATATGGAGATACCTCCGGGATATGGTAGAGATGTTGTTGCCAACACTGTTTGCAAGTTGAAAAAGGCATTATATGGGCTAAAACAGTCCCTCCGTGCATGGTTTGGCAGGTTTACTAAAGTCTATTATGACAGGTCTGGGTTACAAACAAAGCCAAGGGGACCATACTTTGTTCTTTAAACATTCCAAGTCAGGGGAGTAGCAATATTATTGGTGTATGTGGATGACATAATATTAACTGAAGATAATAAAGAAGAGCAGCAATTGTTGAACCAATGCTTAGGCAAGGAATTTGAGATCAAGACTTGGGAAAACTAAAATATTTTTTGGGAATTGAAGTTGTCCACTCCAAAAAAGGGATATACATATCCCAACAGAAATATATCATTGATTTGCTCAAGGAAACTGGCAAGGCAGCTTGCAAACCTGCTAGTATCCCATTAGAACCAAACCTAAAGCTTAGAAATGCAGAAGAAGATGTTGTTGTTGAAAAAGATATGTACCAACAATTAGTGGAAAAACTTATATATTTGTCGCATACCAGGCCAGATATTGCCTATGCAGTGAGTTTAATTAGTCAATTTATGCATAACCCAAAGGAGACCCATTTACAAGCAGCCCACAGAATTTTGCAGTACCTTAAAGGAACTCCAAGAAGAGGGATTTTATTCAACAGGAATCATAATGTGAAGCTTAAAGCCTATACTGATGCTGATTATGCAGGGTCAATTGTGGATAGGAAGTCAAATACAGGATATTGCACCTTTCTTGGAGGAAATCTTATGACTTAGAGAAGCAAAAAGCAGGGTGTAGTGGCTCGGTCCAGTGCTGAAGCGGAATTCCGAGCCATGGCACAAGGTATATGTGAGTTGCTATGGCTTAAAATCATCTTAGAAGACTTGAGGATAAAATGGGAAGAACCTATGAAGCTCTATTGTGATAATAAGTCAGCAATCAGCATAGCCCACAACCTAGTGCAGCATGATAGAACAAAGTATATTAAAGTAGACAAACACTTCATCAAAGAAAAGCTTGATAGTGGTTTGATATGCACTCCATATGTGTCCTCTCAAAACCAAATTGCAAACATTCTTACTAAGGGACTGGGCTGCCACAATTTTGAGAAGATTGTATCCAAGCTGGGAATGGAAAACACCTATTCACCAGCTTGAGGGGGAGTGTGGGAAATCAAATAGTATTTTAGGAAAGAATAAATTAGGAAATTTGTAATCTATACAGATTTGAACAATTAGGAACAATCCCATAAATCAAGGGATCTTAGAATAAAATAGAGTTATTATATTTCCTAAAATAGCTTAGGTCTCCTGTGTATATCTTATATAATCTTTTTGTATTAAAATAATAAAATAAGATTTCATTTAATCTAATTTTCCTTAGTAAAGAATTCTCCCACAGTCAAGCAGTTAAGATTGGCACCTCCTTGACATCAGAGTGGTTTGATATATCTAAATTCTTGTTTGTGGTTTAAATTTTTATTTGCCTCAGTAAAATATTTTGGAAAATTATAAGGAAGGAAATACAAAATACTTTCAGTTCAACTTCTAAATCATAGGCTAAGTGAAGCAAAGAGAGAATCAAAATGAAGAATGTTTTCTTTTGTATCTTAATGTGAAACAAAATACACAGCATTACACCTATGTGTACTAATATTAGACTCGTAATCCTAATTAGCTAAGGAAATATGTATCAAGGAGTATGAAAAAGAACTTCCGACATACACATTATATTTGTTGTGAAGATATAATGAAGATATGATGCATCTATTAAATATTCTAATAGGAAAAAATAAACCACCCTACTAATTAACAATGTGGAAATAATGGCTAATGACTGACTAATATCATGTAGTTAATTGCTCCAAAATATGAAATACACATATCAAGAATTTAATTTTGTTTCCCAATTATTTTTATCTAAAAGAAAGAATTAGGACATGTTTTTACGGCTCTGTTCATGCAGGCATAACTCCCAAGGCTGATGCCCCTTTCTCAACTCCCAGCTGGCCGGTAAAACCTAATACTCCCTCTTGCTAATTAATCGCAAATATGTAACCACTTAAGCACGACTCAGACAACCATTTGAAAGCCAAACTATTTTTTTAATGGAAAATACTGCTATCAACAACTTTTTCTATATTTTTTCCGACTAAATTTTACCCAAATGAAATTTAGGGCATGCTTTTAGTGAAGGATTGGAACAGGTCAGGTCACAATATACTCAGTCAGTTAAAGCAAAGGAAACTGTGTTCTTGCTACCTGCCTTTGCTACTGTAATTATTTTGCAGGAAAACTATGATGTTCCTATACAATTCCAATACCCATAGTGGATATGTTACCAATACCAGTACTTATTGAACACATATGGAAGCCTACCCAGTAATCTTATCACTCAAGTAAAACCAAGTCCACATAAAAATACCGAGTCTTGTTACTTGGGGTTTAGTTTGATACTAAATGAGACAAAATGCTACTTCACTCTCTTTAAAACTCATTTTGAATTGACAAAAAAAAATACAAGAAAATGTGTTCCTAGATACATTATCAACTGAATTGGTTTTTCCAAAAAAGGAAGAATACAAAACTCTTTAGATTAAATATTTTCCATGTTATTTTTCCATCATAATATACAGGATATAGATTGGTTGTCGTTTTCCTCACTGTTCTTGTACATAATAAGTAATAAAAATAGAGAATAATAAGGTTGAACCATGATCTACACAACACAAACCAACAACTTTTGATCTGAAACTATAGAGGATAATAACATACAATTTCATAGAATGAGTAATTTCAAGTTGCACCTACCTGAAGTCGACGTCATCATGAAGCGATTCAACGGAAATAGGAGCAGCGGTATTCGCACTGAGAATTTCTTTAGTCCGTTTAACCTGTTTCTTCAATTTAGCCATGGCCTTGGGAAACTTCCTCACATCGACTCCACCACCAACTTGCGCGTTGAACTGATCCGCAAAATACTCCACCAATCGCAACTCCATGTGCTGACCGCCAAGGTCCGGGTTCCAGCGCACATCCTTCACCTGAAACTGGTTCACGGACACGCTCTTCCCATACTCCTTACCTTTGTACGACGAGAAGTACACAAGCGCCGCGTAGGTACTGCTCGCTCCCATGTCATAGAAAATCACGTGCCTCGACTCGTTCGAGAAGTCCTTATCGATACCATACTGCAGAGCCGCACCGGAATGTTCGTTTATCAGAGACAAAACGTTAATCCCCGCCAATTGCGCCGCCGCAAGTATCCCTCTCCGCTCGGCCTGTCCCGAGTAAGGCGGTACCGAGATCACCGCGTCCTTAATCGGAATCTTTGAGTGAAACTCAGCCAAATTCGCCGCGTAACCTAACACCATGGCGACGAGTTCCTCCGGGGAATAAACGCTGTCCTTTTCGCTTTCGTTTCCGTCGTCCGCCACGAAACTTATGCCGCCTCGGGAGTTTTCCTTCGCTTCGAAAGGGAGGTACATTGAGTCCAGAATCCTCTGCGCGGAGGCATGGGGCTTCGCGAGGAGGTCGCGCATTTGTGAAAAGACCTTCTGCGGGTAGCGCGCGGCAAGGCCGGCAGCCTCCTCGCCGAGGAGGCGGTGACCGTCGTGGAAGGAGACTAGAGCGGGCGATTTCCGCTTGGACATCTCGTTGATCGCGATCGAGATCGGGGATTGGCCAGGCTTCAGGTTCACCACTGCCACCTTCACAGATTCGGAACCTAGATCTACGCTAAAAACCGCGGAGTTCGACGGAGAGAACAACAGCGCGAGGGAGAACAGCACAGTTAGCGCCATCTTCCACGCCATTTTTTTTCCTACGGAATGCGGCGTTTGGCCGCCGAGAAAGTGAGGGAAAATTATGTGAAGGTGTTGCGCCGGAGAACGGAAGAAGAGAAAGTGGTGGTGGTGAGTTGAATAATTAATAAGTAATAATAACAATATATAAATAAATTTCAAGTAACAATAGTGGTGGTGTCCAAAAGTGAGTGTTTTGCTCTGCTTGAAGTGTATTTTACGGGAGAGAGTGTGACGGAGTGAAGGAGGGTTTAACCAGTGAGAACAAGACATATGTCATAATGTACACGTGGCAGGAACTGAGATGGTGTATGGTGTTGTTCTTGGGCCGTGCGTGCTGAAGGTTCTCGTTGAGACAAGAGCGTAGCAAATGCAGTAAATGACTCTTCTAACCTTGTATAGTATGTAGTAAAATTAAAATAAAAAATCACTAGCTACATTTTAACACGTTTGAAATGTTACTACGTGTTTTATCGATAATTTTATTGCTTTTTTTATTAAATAAATTTAGCAAAATTATACATATTGTTTTATTTTATATTATTTAAAATTATCTTTATCATTTTTAATATTTTTAGAATTTTTAAACTAACATTTGGGATTGTTTTGTTTTTATTTTGAAATTTTTAAAAGAAAAATATCAAACTCAAATACCCCAAATTTTTTAATTCTCAAATAACACCTATTCATGGTTATTTTTCAAAGAGATATATTACAATGTATTGAGAAGAAATGTAATATAGTAAAAAATTGAACAAGATTAGATAAAATGGGGTGATTAATAATGTTTCTTGCTCAATTTGTATTTTGGCTATTTGAAATCACGAATCTTTGCGTTAAGTGATAGCATTCCATAGTTATTTCAAGTTGGACTTTAGTTGTGGTTTTTATTTGCTTGAACACTAGTGGGTTAATCATTGTGGGAATAGATGTTGTTCTTGTTCTTATTAGGATGAACTTCAATTTACAAATGTTAATGTTTAATCTTGTTATCAAATTTATAGAAAACTATGGGAGAAAAAATTTGAAGTCTTAAAAGATTAAAAGTGAGAATTGTAGGAAGAATGAGATTGGGTTGTATGGAAATTATGTATGTTTAGGCTTATGAAAAAATTACATATTGTTCTTTATATGTATGTATTGCAATTGATAGTACTAAGATATTATGTTGACCATTAATTGTAAAAATAACCTTTTTTTTTCTTTCCTTTTTTGTGTTTGTTTTTTAATTTCAATATTTTGTATTATCTCTCATTAACATTCAATGTTGAAGCATTGTAATTAGTTATATGGCTATTGAGAAATGTGTTAAAACGGTTGGGTATAATGATAATTATAATGATCACATTCACATAAAGATATGTGAATATTTAGTGTTTAATTTGATTTGTGTTTAATGATTCTTAATAATAATTTTTTTTTTACACTCATTACTTTCAAATACATGTATGACATTGCATTGATTTAAAGTTTTTAGTTGATGTAAATGCTATAATAACTATTTTTCAAAAAAGGTGAATTAACATGATACCATTCAAAGTAGCAATGACAATGAAAAAAATGTTAAAGTATGTGATGTTTTATTATGCGAATTAGTTAGAAGGTGGTTATAAGATAGTTGTAGTATAGGTATTGGTGAAGATTGTTATGTAAAACAAATTATTTAAAGGGAAAGAAATTAATGTTAACAATATAATTATATTATTAGGTGAATTATTGGAAAAGATAACAACGGTAACTTTTGTAGATTTTATATATTATTTTTATTTTTCATCTTTAGGGAAAACTTTCAATTTTAATCTTTTAAGTTTTTTATATGATCTTAATGACTTTGGTTCATACAATTGGGAATTAGTTATGCACAATATTTTAGAAAATAGTTTAAGTCGTGCATGCATGTATTATTTTGAAGATATAAACCAAGCCCAAATTCACATTGTTGGTTGTGTTACTATATTGCAAGTGTGTTCATAGTATGACTTAATAAATACTAATTTACATTAAAATAGTTATGCACATTTGTTGAAACTAGTTGTATTAATTGTCTTATAATGTATCTTAGATGTAATTGATCATATATCATTACATACCTTTATAAAAAATAATAATTTTTCTTGAATTATTGCTTATTTTTAAGTATAGGGAACAAGTAAAAATATAGGATATGTCTTTACTTCGAACTTATTACTTTTTCAATTTTCTTATGTTATTATTTGTCATTGTTATTGAATAATAGTTTATTTAATTCATTGTCAGATTGTACATCATTGAGTCAACTGACAGAGAAAAAGAATAGCAAATTATGATTGATGCCATGAATATTGGTGCAATTGGAGATATGTATTACAAGCACAATGTTTATGGAATTCGTGAAATTAAAATTGAATAGAAGGTGTTGATATAGAAGAATGCATATTTAGAAAAAAGAATTTTGATGATAGAAGTAGAACTATAATTGTAGAAAGATGAAACTATCACCTTCTAACATCATATACTTCTTGTGGATTGAATAATTTTTTAGGCATTGAATAAAAATCTTTTATGGTTGGAACTGATGTAAAGATTGTCAATGACCGGTCAACAAATAGGAAACTTAAGCAATTGTTTAAAAAATTGTACATGTTTATGTTAAACGGTATATAATCAATAACAAGAATTAGTATCTCATGAGTCATTGATGTGAGTTGATTTTATTATTTGCTTTTTGCATAATAATGGTTAGTATGTATTGTAGACCCCAAATATTGCCCGGCCTCCAAATAAAGAGCAGAAGACCTCCTATTTGAAGATGGACAAGCCTAACAAGCCATTAGGAGAGACTATTAGGCCCCATACTAGGATAGGAGGGAGTTTCTATACCAAAAAATAAGTTTTCTCGCTTCGAAGGGACGAGACCGCCTTCTGGACAACCCAGACCGCCGTCTCGCCTCGCGTAGGAGGCGAGACCGCCGTCTCGCTTAATGAGACGGCAGTCTCGCCACCTACGAAGGACGAGACGGCGGTTTCGTTCACCTAGACGGCGGTCTCGCCATTTTGACAGGACGAGACGGCGGTCTCGTTGGACGAGACAGCGGTCTCGACCCTGTCAGACGAGACCGGCGGTCTCGCCACCTGACAGTGCGAAAACCTATAAATAGGGGCTCTCCCCCCCTCATTTTCACACACCACAGCTGCATAGCTCTCCCTTCTCTCTAAAAACTTCTCTCTAGAATCCCTCCGACGCATTTCCGGAGCTTCTGAGTGCTTTCAAGAGTGATTTTCGGCGTTCGAGAGGTTTTCCGACGTCTTATAGAGTGAAGGGCTGCCATAAAGCACTCTATTTTTTAGAGAATTAATATAAAAAGCGTGCTTCGAAGGTTCAAATTCTCTCCCTTCATCTTTACCGTTTTTATCTTAAATTATGCAATAGATATTAGGGCCATGTAGTCATACTTTTAAATTCCGCGTAATAAAAAGGGCGAAAGTGTATTTTTCTAGTTTATCAAGAAAATAAGCCTGCCGCCATAGGGAACCCGAAAGGGCGTCGTAAAGGGACTAATACTCCCTTTGCACGTAACCAACTCCCTTACCCAACTCTGGTTCTAATGACCAAAGTTGGTTTTCGAAAACCAACGCCTTTTAAAACCTCTTTCCGATGTTTCCGGTAAAAACATCGATGGCGACTCCATAGAACCTAAAATAAATAAGTCCCCGGGTTAGCCCTAGCTATTCGGACAACCCAGGGATACTTCGAAAACCTCGCCCCTAGGTTAGCCCTAGCTATCGGACAACCTAAAGGCGTTGTAACCACCAATAAAACACGCGAAAATCAAAGAAGAGTCGAAAAACCATCGCGTCGCTCCGACCGCGCTCCCGTTTTCGGGAAGGCGACGACAGATGGCGACTCCACTGGGGAAGCCTAGAGAGTTAATCACATTTAGTGATGGGCCGGCTTAAACAATAAATAAACCAAGAAAATAACACTTTTTCCCTTAACTTGTATTTATAACATGTTTTATTGTTTGGCTTTAATAACTGTTGCTTGTTTATACTTGCAAATTGCTTGAAATATAAACTGCACACAATCCCTTGCACACAATAGTTCCCCCTATACCCGGGGCAAGTGAGATAACCATAGGGAGTGGGTGGCAGGTACTGGCTCGCTGCAGCTAGGGCCTTGTGCCCACCAAGCGTGATCGGAAACCACCACTCAAGGTGATAACCTTCCTCTTTTGGCAACAAGACCGACTCGGCCTTAGTGCCGAGCATGGTTGGACTGGCTGGAGAGTGGGGACCCTATAATGGGGGCACCTTGGGGGCCTTAGCCTCGGTGAGAACAGTTAGAACCTACCCTAACCAATGCACTTTTCTCGTAGGAAAACCCTACCTCGTGATTAAAACGAAATCTCGCTGTTCTGGGATGGTCGAATTGTGTGTGCATATGATTGTCGCATTTGTATGTTGCATAGCATAAACAAACAACGAACAAAATCACAAAAAATATATTTTACAAATAAACACCCTTATCTCTGACAGTCCGCCTTTTAGCTAGCCTGGTTTCGTGTTCTTTGCAAGCTAAGTAGCCACGCAATTCGACAGAAGAGATAAGGGACGATAAATATTCTTTCGCATAAAGCCATATTTTATCTCGGCATAGTCCGCCTTTTAGCTAGCCTGGTTTCGTGTTCTTTGTAAGCTAAGTAGTCACGCTAGCTCCGACGAAGAGATAAAAGGCTATAAAATAAAAATCAAATAAAAATACCAAAACACCAAAAGTAAATGAACAACTTTTGACAAAGTCAAACTCATCCATACTACATCATATCATGAGTAAAGAAAAACCAAGAGAGAAAATAAAAATGAGAGCGCATTCAACATCATTTAAATAAAACCTCTCATACATACTCATGGTAGTTTAAGCACTCAACATGCATTAATAAACTTTTTCTGGACATTCTAGAAAGTGGTTGGTCCTCTCCCCACTCGTACTCGCGCACAAAAAGCTAAAGCAATGGAAAAATTGGAGGAGCAGAACCGAAAACTTTCTCGCGGAAGTCGACACCCTCCGGAGCAGGTAGCCCAATTGATGGAGGTCATACGTCAAGGCCGTAGCAAGGGCGGCGAGGGCCAAGTCGAGTATATCCCTCCTCATGAGGAGGAGGAGGAGGAAGAACACTTCTATGGCGATAAGACCGTTCGCATCCTTACCCCGTAAGTATCTAAACAACAACTCTCCGCCCTGGAGGAGAGGCTGAAGGCGGTTGAAGGGCATAACTTTGACGTCAAGGAGGTGGCTGACATGTGCCTCGTAAAGGACATCCGCTTCCCTCCCAAATTCAAAACCCCGTACTTTCCCAAGTAAGCCGGATGACCTCGTCCTAAAAACCATCTTACGATGTATCGCCGTAAGATGGCCGCCCACGCCGACAACGAGAAACTCCCGATCCATTGCTTTCAGGAGAGTCTCGGCGGATACGGCTCTCAACCGGTACATGCAGCTGGAGAGAGGGCAGTGTCCGGAATCGGAAACAACTGGCGTACGCTTTTCTTCGTCGTTACCGTTATAACATCGATCCGACACCGGATAGGTCAAATCTTAGAGGTTTGAGCAAACCGGACGACGAGGCCTTCAAAGCGTACGCCCGTAGATGGAGGGAATTGGCTGCCCAAATAGAGCCCCTCTCGACGGACAAGGAAACGGTGGCTATGTTCATAGACTCACCGACCGGAGCATACTACGACAAGGCGATAGCCGCACCTCCAACCTTTTCTGACATAGTCACCGTGGGAGAAAGAGTGGAGCAAGGGCTGAAGAGTGGCAAAATAGCGCGACCTTCTTCTTCCAAAGACATCATTCAAGAAGCCCTTCAAGAAGAAGGAAGAAGCCGTGCACGCCATAAATTTCGCAACCCCTTCCTCCATCCCTCGGACAGACTCGCAAAAGAAGGAGAGGAAGTTCACGCCTATCCCCACCTCCTATGCAAAGCCGCCGCCCTAACCGTTGGAAGCCGCCTCCCGGCCCGCGTTCCTCCCAAGAAGCAGCTGGAGCCTCCCTATCCCGAGTGGTACAAGCCCAATGAAAAATGTAGCTACCACTCGGATGCACCAGTGGCATTCAATCGACAACCGCTTGACCTTGAAATATAAGGTCCAAGAATTAATCGACGCCGGTTGGATAACCTTTGACACCTCCGCTTCCAAGACGGACGACAAACCTCCGTCGAAGCCGAGTAGCAGAGAGGGAGGACCGGAGGATCAACCCTAGGGTCTTTTGTTTCATTTTTAAGCTTTTTTATATCTCCTACTGGTCCCCGCCCGTGGCCGCAGGAATTTTGATTAAAAAGGGCTTGTACATACATTCTCATTTTCATTAAATATACGAGGCATTTTGTCATATTCATTCTTTTCCTCTTCTATTTATTATTCTTTCAAAATGAATAATAAAATCTATAACTAAAACGAACCTAAAACGCATCATGTCTATGGTTGATGAATCTCCGTGGACTCGGAAACGAAGACGAATGGATTAAGTCCGACAATGAGCAGGAGACCATTTCTCCGGACATGCAAAGGATGCTCGGAAAAGGAAACACGCATCATACAACCTCATCGGAGGGAATAGAAGCCGTTAATTTGGGAAAAGAGGATGAGGAGAAGAAGGTAAACATCGACACCCAAATGGAAAGTGACATGAAAAAAGGGTTAATACCGCTTCGAAAGAATATATAGATGTATTCGCTTGGTCATACCATGACATGCCGGACTCGACACGAATATAGTGGAGCACAGATTGCCACTAAAAGAGGGGTGCCTACCCGTAAAGCAAAAGCTCGAAGAATTAAACCCGACCGGTCCTTAATGATAAAAGAAGAGGTGCAAAGACAGCTTGGATGCCAATTTCCCGGTAGTTTCTAAATACCCAGAGTGGTTGGCCAACATAGTACCCGTCATCAAAAAGACCGGAAGGTCGAGTTTGCGTGGATTATAGGGACCTCAATCGAGCAAGTCCAAAGGACGACTTTCCCCTACCACACATAGATACACTGGTAGACCATACCGCTACCAACACGTTGTATTCCTTCATGGACGGGTATGCGGGGTACAACCAGATCAAATTGGTCGTTGAGGATAGAGAGAAAACCTCCTTCATTACACCATGGGGTACTTTCTGCTATCGGGTAATGCCGTTTGGGCTAAAGAATGCAGGGGCTACCTACCAAAGGGCTATGGTCACGCTATTCCATGACATGATCCACAAGGAAATAGAAGTGTATGTGGACGACATGATCGCCAAGTCCCGAAATGAAATGGACCACATTCAATATCTCCGAAAACTTTTTGATCGACTTCGAAAGTACCAACTTAAGCTAAACCCGGCAAAATGTACTTTCGGAGTACGATCAAGAAAAC